CAGCCTCTCCCGTTGCGGAGCACAGGCTCCGGACGCGCAGGCCCAGTGGCCACGGCTCACGGGCCCAGACACTCCGCGGCACGTGGGATCCTCCCAGACCGGGGCACGAACCCGCGTCCTCTGCATCGGCAGGCGGACCCTCAACCACTGCGCCACCAGGGAAGCCCCTGTTTGCTTTTAAATCCTATCACTTTCAGTAATTCATTTCTGAAAATAAATGTACTTGGAGAAAGATCATATATCTACTAATTATCTTTGCTACAGGGAATGGGGTAGGGTTTTTTTATCCAAAAGACAAAAGCAATGTCTACAATGGAATTGAAAAATGCAATAGAAGTGAAATGAGAGTAGAAAAGAAAAAAAAGTATTACTTAAGAATATTGACTATATAACACAGAATATACATCTCTTAAGCCCTTTACTCACCTATAAATGCATGAGAAGATGAGAGATGAGCTTTTGAGTCAATATTGGGTAACCCTGCTTCTTCCTTTCAGCAAACCCTTGCATCTACTACGATGAATACAGTAAATGTAAGACACAGACACGAGGTCCTGCCTGCAGCCATCTGTCAGTTCAACAACTCTGCAAGGCTAGTTGCCTGTGTCCCACTGAGATAAAATAGCCTTTGTTATTTGCAGCTGTAATGTGCTGTCGAATCATACCTTTGACCTTACTTTGCTTCAGCAGTTTCCCCTGCATTTCATGTGGTTTTAATTGCACCTGAGATCTTAATTTTCACTAGTCAAATATGGGCATCAGTATGTTTACGACAGTGCCCCTCACTCCTGTTCTGATACATCGTGAAGCAACACTTTTAAACTTTCTTAAAGCTGGGGTGAATATGATTGATGAAATATGAGTGAACTATGAAATATGATTTAAATATGAGGCAGTTCAACACCTGCCTCATATTTAAATTATGTGATGTCTCCGTCTCAGGTTGACTGATTCAGTGGACTGGATAACTGATTCAGCAACCTGTGCTAAAGGAGGGTCTTTCCCTGTTTGTCTCCTTCCCCTGCTTTCCCAGGTCTCAAGCTGCCCTGATGTTTGTCTTTCCCGTACAATTTACATGCACGAATAATTCTTCACTTCTTAACTTTACTTCTGCCTTAAATCAACCATTAAAACAATCCATGAAGCAAACAAAGAGTCCAGTCTCATTACTTGAAAGGTAAACATTGGTTAATTGGAAGTGATTTAAATGTCTCACTGTTTCATTGCCATGTCTATACACATTTGTAAAGTGGGCAAGAAAACCGCGTGAGTGCTTAATTTAACAAAAGATGTATTCATCATTGATTACATGCAAGGGGTAATCCATATATGGAGGATATTGTCTCCCTCATTTCAAACCGAATTGGAACATTAAAGAAACCTAGTGAGGAGGGCTGTAGTAAACCAAGAGCCCATGGCTCTTCATCGGATGAGTCCTTGCCAAGAAAGAAGAGCCCTTCGTCTTCCAGTTGGGCTCTGCTATCCTCACAGGGTGTGAGAGCTCCCCCTTCTGGTCCCCTGACTCTACTTCACTGAGGTTTCTGTTTACTCATCTTTCATGAGGGCAACTTTTTGAATACTTCCCAACCTCACTCCAATGACCACAGCTTATCAGGAGTGTTTGTGGACACAGCAGCATTCTTATACCTAGACTTGAAATCTCATGGTTTGTTCCAGGGTCACCATCAGGGGGAGTGTCAAGACTGGACTCAGGAACCCAAATACATTGTTCTATTAAAAACAGATGTGTGTGGAGACAGCCCACACTCTGTCTCTGGAATGTGTATCTCTATAAATAAACCTGCTTTCAGTTTTTAAAAAAAATACAGATGTGTGTGTGTGTGTGTGTGTGTGTGTACATATACAAATGGATGTTCAGAAAACCTGTAAAACAAAGGTAGTAAAGAGCATCACTGAGGGCAAAAACCTGATTAGATTGTTGGGTTTGTAGTGGAGAGCAAATGGGCACAAAAATGGATCCGGGTTACAGGGAAACTTCAAGGAAAGACAAACTGAATGACTTGGATTTGATGCCATAAGAAAAGGTAATACATCCTGATTTTCAATTTAAAAAGCTCTACAATATAGGCAGAACACTCTGACATAAATCACAACAAGATCCTTTTTGCCCCACCTCCTAGAGAAATGGAAATAAAAACAAAAATAAACAAATGGGACCTAATGAAACTTCAAAGCTTTTGCACAGCAAAGGAAACCATAAACAAGACCAAAAGACAGCCCTCAGAATGGGAGAAAATATTTGCAAATGAATCAACTGACAAAGGATTAATCTCTAAAATTTACAGGCAGCTCATGCAGCTCAATAACAAAAAAACAAACAACCCAATCCAAAAATGGGCAGAAGACCTAAATAGACATTTCTCCAAAGAAGATATACAGACTGCCAACAAACACATGAAAGAATGCTCAACATCATTAATCATTAGAGAAATGCAAATCAAAACTACAATGAGATATCATCTCACACCAGTCAGAATGGCCATCATCAAAAAATCTAGAAACAATAAATGCTGGAGAGGGTGTGGAGAAAAGGGAACACTCTTGCACTGCTGGTGGGAATGTGAATTGGTTCAGCCACTATGGAGAACAGTATGGAGGTTCCTTAAAAAACTACAAATAGAACTACCATATGACCCAGCAATCCCACTACTGGGCATATACCCTGAGAAAACCATAATTCAAAAAGAGTCATGTACCAAAATGTTCATTGCAGCTCTATTTACAATAGCCCGGAGATGGAAACAACCTAAGTGTCCATCATCGGATGAATGGATAAAGAAGATGTGGCACATATATACAATGGAATATTACTCAGCCATAAAAAGAAACGAAATTGAGCTATTTGTAATGAGGTGGATGGACCTAGAGTCTGTCATACAGAGTGACGTAAGTCAGAAAGAGAAAGACAAATACCATATGCTAACACATATATATGGAATTTAAGAAAAAAAATGTCATGAAGAACCTAGGAGTAAGACAGGAATAAAGACACAGACCTACTAGAGAATGGACTTGAGGATATGGGGAGGGGGAAGGGTAAGTTGTGACAAAGCGAGAGAGAGGCATGGACATATATACACTACCAAACATATGGTAGATAGCTAGTGGGAAGCAGCCGCATAGCACAGGGAGATCAGCTCGGTGCTTTGTGACCGCCTGGAGGGGTGGGATAGGGAGGGTGGGAGGGAGGGAGACGCAAGAGGGAAGAGATATGGGAACTTATGTATATGTATAACTGATTCACTTTGTTATAAAGCAGAAACTAACACACCATTGTAAAGCAATTATACTCCAATAAAGATGTAAAAAAAAAAAGTTGCAATAAATGATCTAGAAGGAAAAAAATAAAAAGCTCTACAATAAAAACTCATTTATATTCAGATGTAAATGGAGGCATGTGTAATAAAATTATCCAAGATATGCAGATGGACAACTGCCTATTTTAGGGGTCATTGTTCTAAGCATTTGGTAACCTGGTCATAACAGCTAGATTTCTTTACTAGTGAGGGCATTAGTATTCCCTTTGCCAGAAGATCTTATGCCCTGATTGGGTATTTTCTGTCAGTTCTACTCCTTCAGGTACATAGAGTTTGATAGGAATATGTCTTTTGGTGTGAAATAATTAAAAGCTGTAGAACCATTGTTTTCTCGCTAGTCACTTCATTCATCTCAGGGTTTAGAAAATTCATTCACATGAAGGGTAATTCTAGAAAATGACCACAAGATGGCAGCATATACATATTATCGTTAAACTTGTTTTGAAGCCAAGGAAAATTACCTGTTAGATTGATATCCTAAAATTATTCTAAAGAGTATCTAAACGATTTGCATAAAATGATTATAGTAAAAACAAAACAACCTCCACACTTTGTTGGCAACAGGTCACAGTCATTTAAGTGGATATACACAATGAAAGGATAATAGTGTTAGGGAGGTTATTCGTCCCACACCTACTGATTACTTGTAGAATAGCTGTTGCTGACAACGACCTGATAACATATCTGAGCCTCAGTTTCCTCATTTGCAAATGCGGATAATAATAGTCCCACCCTTGTAGAGTTGCTGTGAGGGTAAAGTAAGGGGAAAATATATACAGAATTCCTAACAGATCCCGGCATGTTGTGTTAGCTATTTTTATTATTTTTATAATTCACAATTTTCCATTGAGATGCTTGACACTATAGTTGCTTCTAATCAAAGCTGTCACTTATTAATTGTGCTTGTAGTACAAAATTTAGTATATCACAATTGTATTGCATGGAGTATCTCATGGTAATAAAGGTAATACATGGCCAACTTTATCTGAGTGCATTGTTGACAGCACACTGGTATTGGGCGGCAAACTCAACTATCTATGGACTTTTCCAATCAGCTCTTTACATTTTTAATTCAGGAGATCCTGTTGGGAAAGGAGGGCCTCCTTTTTCAGCCACGCCCTGCGCATTTTGAATCCTGATATTATCTCCATCCGGCTTGTACTGTTCTGTTCATGTATGTGAGCATTTATTTTCCTCATCAAGTGATGGTAATGACGGTAATGAGAAAATGTGTAGGGTTTTCACGGCGCATCCCTGGAGGGAGATGGGGGAGTTGTGCGAATAATTCAGTTGGCTCAGGACTGCGCTGAGGGCATAAAGCCTGGTGATGTCGCCCGCACGTGGCCGGCGGGGTATTTTACACACGTGGCCGTGGCCGGAGCGGTGAACAACAGCCGGTCCCTGGCCGGCGCCCTGCAGCAGAAAGATCTGGGCTCTAAGCCAGGGTAAGAATTAGAGCAGGCTGGTTTTATTCTCCTTTAACTCAGAAATCTAAGAGCTCACATGACAGCTACCCAAGGGATTTTGGTTTTGTTTTCTTTTTTTAGTGAACTAGTAGTAAAACCCTAGCTTTCTGCTTCACAGTTCAAAGTAAATAATTTTATCTTACACCATAAAACTATGATTTCTCCTGTACTGTTCCTTCAGGTACATTTTAATCTAATAGAACCATTTTGCAAACACATGAAATGACAGGGCAGTCTTCTCCAAGTCGGATTTCAAGCTCAAATATATATGTATAGCTATACAATGCATAAATACACACACAAACGTACACACATGCACCTCTTTATTACCTCAGAATGAAAATGCAAATGCATTTATTAGCCTAAGAGTGGCACCAAATGGAAATTTATGCACATACATTTAGATAACAGAACCCATGAAAATAAAGCAGTTGCAGCTATTAATTTTCCTCTGACAGTTTTTTAAATCCCTCAAAAAAATGAACCAGCATGAATACTGTCAATATATCACAACGGCCACATTAGGTTTTGTGATATACATCATAATATAAAGAGCACTATTAGAGCACAACTCGGGAACCATTAAATCATTCTAAATCACTGTTACATTCTATTAGTGTCAATGGTGAAACCACATAATAGGCTGTACTACAAACTTCACCTTGGTAGGCCATTGTCTCTAATAACCACTTCTGTATGATGTGGTATCATACCCAGAAATCCAGGGAGAAAATAAAGTCTCCCTTATTTCTTTTTTATTGGATGGGTAAAGTTAAATTTAGCTGTAAGTAAAATAAAATCCTGAAGCTTTGTTCACTAACTGCGAGTTGCTGCTACTTGTGCAAAAAAAATTAGGCAGACTTTGGAAGAACAGTTTGAAATACAT